TGTGCATGCGTGTGCATGCGTGTGCAAGTGTGGACTGTGTGTAAAATGGGTGCAATAGCATCTCTGTTGGAAATAGGGCTAATAGACATGTAAGGTTTCAGGAGTGTTTCAGGGCTTTGCCTCAAAGGAATCTGTGAGCGTGTTAGTTCACAGACCAGAAGCTGCCCAGCAACAGGGGGGCATCTCACTGGTCAGAGGCAAATGCAAGGCCACACCTGTCTCAAGACCTGGAGGCCAGTGCCTGATGCTTGTGTAAGACAGAGCTTGGCATGGGGTCACAGGTTAAGGACTGATCAAAGAATGCCATCCCAGCAGACACCTGCAGCTAAAACCAATTAGCCTTAAGGACAGCTCCTGCTTCACTCCTGACCACGTCTCAGTTAATGAGAAACTAGATAAAGAAATATATTGTCTCTATATTTCTGTTTAGCTTTTCTGCTAATTGACAGTTTTATCTTTAACTTATATCTCAGCTAGGTCTATTCTTAGGGCTTAAAAGTTTATCTTAGAAAAATTTTGTAACCATTTGCTCATGTAGATAGACTTAATTAAGGGATCTCTAGAAACTTTTGGGGAGCCTTGAAACCTAAACAAATGACATGTACACATAAATCTGTAACCACTAACAAGTAATTGCTGTACCAGTAAATACTGATGCAGGACTTCACTCAGGACTTCACAGCTCACGGGAATGCTGGAGGACCCCTGACTCCCCCATCACTTTAAACTACACTTTGTCTCTGTCTGTTATTTCTCTGTCTCTATTATTTCCAAATCTGTTGCGACGATCCTGCCTGGGACCTGTTTGCTGGGAGTGTGGCTAACTCCCAGCACATCTGCAGTTGAGAACAACTTGTATCTTAGTCCATTCAGGGTGCTACAATAAAAGTTCTAGAGACTGGGTGGCTTGTTAACAACAGAGGTTTATTTCTCAAGTTCTGGAGGCTGGGAAGTCCAAGAATAAGGTGCCGTGGCTCTGGTGTCTGCTGAGAGCTGCTTCCTGGTGCGTGGGAGGCCATCTTCTCCCTGGGCCCTCACGTGGTAGCAGGGGCAAGGGAGCTCTCTGGGGCTTCTTTCACAGGGTGCAAATCCCATTCATGAGGGCACCACTTTCATGACCTAATCGATTCCCAAAGGCCCCACCTCGGCTTTGACATATGTGTTTGGGGAAGACACACATGCTCAGTCCACCGCAGCTGGATGCTATGGCCATGCTGAGACGGTCATTCCCCAGTGGGGGTGGGAAAGGGAAGGCTCTCAGATGTGCCCCTATTCTTACTGCCCTGCCCCCTCCTAACACACCAGAGGCTGGGGGAGGCTTGGGCTGGGTGGGGACGTCCCAAAAAGTTCCTCTCTACCCCTTCAGGTGGCGCCTCCCTGGTTCTCATCTCCTGCCTCCTCCCCCACTTCCCGTGATCTTGTCCTTTGTCTGCGTTCCCCAGCTGGCACCCCTCTGTCCGACTTGGCCCCTTTTGTGTGATCTCGTCCAACAGAAGGAATCAAGCCCCAGTTTGTTTAGTGGAAGACTGCGACCTCATGCCCCCGCACACGTTTTGTTAGGCTAACTTGGAGACCCAATTTGGTTTGTTTTTTTGTTTTTGTTTTTGTTTTTTTTGTAGAGACAGGGTCTCACTGTGCTGTCTAGGCTCGTCTCAAACTTCTAGTCTCAAGCAATCCTTCTACCTAGGCTTCCCAAAGTAGGGGTTACAGGCATGAGCCACCACATTCAGCTTGTTTCTTAATTTAGTTGCCACATTTTAAAACCAGGAGGTTGTTACACTGCAAGCTCCAGCCCCTGAGCCCACATTCCAACATGATGGCATGGGGTGGGGCTCAGAGAGGGGCAAGCAGGTCTCTCCATGAGCACAGGGCTCCTGGCTGCTTCCTGCAAGCCCCTGGGCCTCACCTCTCTGCACTTCAGCACCCGCTGATGGCAACGGATTTTCCTCTCTGCCCACTTTCTGCTGTCTCTGCCAAGGGAAGTGTGGCCTGGGGTGGGGTGGGAGTGAGGGGAAGAAACCCAGGCTCCATCCATTCTGGCCCATGGCTTGTCTTCCCCTGATGTCTGTGTTCAACTCAGGTTATCACCTCCATGACTGGTCTCATGTTGAAGACTTGCATATGGTCTGCATGAAATAGTTTTATCCTCTGCCCCCATTAGAATAAACTTTGGCTATTTTTTTTTTTGCTAACTAATAGTCCTGACCTTCCTAAAATAAGAGCATTTGCTCCTGCATCTTCCTAATGTGATTTACATTTCAAAGCTTTCTTCCTTCCGCCAACTACTGCCAGGGAAAGACACCCCAGAACCACCCCAGAACCACTCTATTTAGGTGTTTTCCCCTGGCCTGGGGTGGTGAGCGGGGCACTGGGAGGGGAGAAAAGGGGCTGCCTTGATCAATTTACTGTCTTCTTCTGGTCTCATCTCACGAGAGAGAGTGAATGGTCCAGGAGTTAGAGAAGTGGCTTCAGAGTCAGGAGATCTGGGCTCTAGTGTTGGATTTGTTGTTAATTGGGTATGTAATCATGGACAAGCCACTCTGGCTCTTGAAATAAAGTAAAGTAGTTGGGTTAAGTAATCTCTGATTTCCATTCCAAGTCTAAGTCACGGATTCTATGGTTCAGATACACAGACACCCCCCAGTGCGTGTGCACATGTGTGAACACACACACACACACACACACACACACACACACATGGATATAAATGATTAAATCATAATCAAGAGAATTTCAGGTCAATTCTAAAAGTTAAAAATCTCCATTCACAAAAAGATTTATAAATTTTCAATCCATGCTTTCCTTTGTTCTTCTGAACAAACGCAGTTACTCTGTTTTCTTCAAATGCTCATTTCATGTCTGTTTATGTGCATGCTGCTGGTCTGTTTACACGCACATGCAAGACCCTCTCTCTTCTGAGGGTCACTGAGTAACTCCCAGAAGATGAGGTTGGGCAGTCAGAGGCGCACCCAAGTGTGAAATGAGCGTAAGGAGTAGGATGGAGTTCCTCGCCTCGCGCTGGGAGCACTCTCCTCCCATTCCCTGTGATGCATGTCTTAAAAGTCTTATTTCTATATCTTACAGGGATCAATATATACAATATATAAAGAACTCCTGCAACTCAACAACTGAAAAACAAATGATCCAATTTAAAAATGAGTAAAGGACTTAAACAGACATTTGTCCAAAGAAGACATACAAATGCCAATAAGTACATGAAAAGATGCTCAACATCACTAATAATTAGGGAAACGCAAATCAAAGCCACAGGCAGATGTCACCTCACACCCGTTAGACGGCTACCACCAAAAACCCTGGGGAACAGCAAATGTGGATAAGATGTGGAGGGGAGGTAAAATGGTACAGCTGCTGTGGAAAATAGAATAGCAGTTTCTCAAAAAATTAAAATTAGAATAACCATATGATCCAACAATTCCACTCTGGGTATATACCCAAAATAATTGAAAGTGGGGACTCAGATATTCGTAAGCCCATGTACATGGCAGAATCATTCACAACAGTCACAGTATGGAAGCAACCCAAGTTCCACTGATGGTTAATTGGACCCATAAAGTGCGGTCTGACCCAGCGGGTGTCACCGGCCTTACAAAGGAAAGAGACTCTGACACATTCTGCGACAAGGATGCACCTAGAGGACATCACGCCAAGTGAAAGAAGCCAGTGGCAAAAATACAAACACTGCACAATTCTGCTCGTACGAGGTACCTGGAGTCAAATTCGTAGAGACAGAAAGTAGAACGTCTGCCACTGCCACGTCCTGATTTTGTTCACCAGGCCAGCAATCCTGAGAAGCAGGTAGAACAGCGACTGCCTTAACCTCATTTTTTAGGATCAAGAAATTCTCAGCAAGCTTCATCGATGTGCCCAAAGTTACACAATGGTTGAAAAACAAAACGAAACTCAGAACCTGGTCTTATGACCCTAAAGAGACCAAGACAATGGAAATTATGCCGTCACAACAACTCTACTTCAAGGCTGTAACAGCAGAAATGTTCCTGACATTACGTTTTAAGAAAACAGCCTGCAGGCAAAGTCGAACCATGAGCACATAGACAAAGACCAGAAGGGAAAAGGCACAAATAAAAGGATTTCCTTCGTAGAGTAGATTTCTTGTTTCCTGCTTGAAAATACATCTTTAAAATCATCATATTTACACAAGTAAGAAGATCAGTGTGGAGTGAAACAGAGTTCCCAAGGTCCCCCTCTCAGAAAAGGAGCTGCTCCAAAAGGTCCAAGATTGTAATTTCTTATAGAAGAAATATAGTGACTTTATTTTCAGTCTCCTATAATGAACAGGTGAAAACTACTGATGAGAAAAGACTAGAAGGACATCTTTTTTCAACAGCAAAGGATGCCTCACACTTTGTTCGCCTACTTGTGTCACTCTAGCGACACTCCCTCGGACACCTGGTCCTGCAGATCTTTCCACCTAGGACTTTTCCGAAGAGGCCGCGAGCGCTTGGGCAGAGAACCTACTGCTGCTAGGCCTGCAATGCCTCGCGGTGCGGGGTCCCCACCCACGTTTCTTGCCGGATGAGTGCCGATTAAACACAGGCTGCTAAGACAGACTCGACTATGCGCTATTGTTTTGGACCAATTAATGTATCAAGTAACGCTGGAGAGCGTGAGCGACGTCACAGACACATGCAGGAGAGAGCAAGGGTGCAATAGTCCACAGTGCTGCAGACGTGAGCAGGGTCCCACTGGCAGAGCCTCCCGTCCTGCGTCGCTCTACTGACAAACAGCACGAGGACCTCGCTTAGCACGGCTTGACGCTCGTTGCATCGTCCGGCTGTGTGGCGAGTCATTCATGTCCCAGGAAGCCAAACACGCACAGACAAGAGGAGCCTCAGCTGGCACTCTTAGCCTGTGGGCACCACCAGCTCTGGGCTCTAGCGTCACACGACATCCTGACGTCCTCCCTGTGCTGCACAGGAGGCCACTCAGGCCCCTACGTGGCAGTAAAGTCCTCTTTTCCACCCAGTTGTCAGTTTAGGCGGGGGCCTCAGGTGGAAGCTTTGTGCTCCTTTCCTGTGGCAGGGAACACAGAACAGACACGGCGTCCGGAAATGTCTGGACAGAAAAGGAAAGTACAGCTTAAGGTTTTCCTGTGTTCCCAAGCAGCGGCTGCATGAAGAGCCCCGCGGTCCCGCACACGCAGACGGCCACGAACACCCAGAGCAGCGCTCTGTCCGCCACCGTGGCCACGTATTTCCAGGCATCCTCCACCTGAAACACAGACGAAAAATCAGAGCTAGCTTTGAAAATCAAAACCATAGGAAACGCTGTCTCATAAAAAGCTTCTTCTTTTTCAAAGAAGGTTTCCCTGGCACTTTCGGAAGTAAACATTAGAGTTACTTCGGCGCCCCGTGTCTGCTGTCTCGTGCGCGCAGCAGTTTTGTTCTGTCTGAACATGGCTAAGAGCCTGTCGCGGGGCTGGGCGTCCTGGCAGGTGGGGAAGGAGGCTGAGGCAGGGGTGGGTGTGACCGAGGACCTCTCCCTAGGGATGGGCAGCCCGCCAGATGGCACAGGGACACTGACCACATGAGTGGCTGCATTTCTCACGTCCCTCCAGTTCCGGAGCCCCAGGCTTCTGCCACAGTCCCTGCAGTTATGTCTTGAAAGTCAACAGCAACTCTCTGTTAGAGTGTATGACGATGGCACCAGGAAGGCGAGTTCTCCTGGTCTTTCTTGTCCTGTGACGCACCCCACCCCACCTGCGGACGGGCATTCGCAGCATCTTCCCCGAGCCAACCGCGCAGACGCAGCTGCCAGCAGCCACAGTCTGAGGCCAAAGCCAGAGGACCTCAGCTATACCCTCGCGGTGTGGACGGTGGATGCGACTCTCCCGGGCTCTATCTTTGGAGGATGAGGGAGGCGCATGCTGCTATAGTTGCGTTCTGGCAGCAGGAGCAGAGTATGCAGACGCTAAAAATATCCCTGCGGCTCTTTCCACCAGCACCTAAATCCTCTCAAGTAGGACAGGTGGGACTGGAGCTGCCGGAAGGCATGAACACTCCCGCCTTCTCCTGCCTTCTCCCACCTTCTCCCGCCTTGTCCGCCTCCGCCCAACACTCCGGGCTGCACGCTTCCCTGCACCCATTTCTCCTTCCCCTCTGGGGGCAGCCGCTTCCTTCCCGCCCTTCTATTTGCCCCTGTTTCTCGTGCAGGGGCTCTTGGTTTCATCAACCAAGTTTGTCCTGAGTGTTTACTTTAACCAAATTTCACTTGCATTCACATTTCTGGAGCTGCAGATTTGCTCCGGGGCCACACCTGACCCCGTCACTGCTAGGCTCAGAGTCAGGCCGCGGACCCTCTTGGGAACAAACTCACTGAAGATCTGACTGTGTCCCTAGAGTGGTTTAGGCCTCCAGGTAGAGGAGACACACAAATTTACCTCCTTCGTTTCGTTGTGGTTCTTCATGTTTTCTGCTATGAATTGAACACTATTAACCACATCTTCAACCTCAGGCGAGTGCTCTGAATTTTCAGCCACCCACCGTAAAGGCTGATGACTTAATCTTCTCCTGCTGGTGGCCAGCTCACTTGATTTGTGACAGTGGCAGCATTCTTTGAGGAGTTTGGGTCCTCCATGGCTGGCAAACTTCACCTTGGCAGGCCTCCTGGAAATGCCTCTGGACATTGTACCCAAGCCTGTCTCCCTGGTCTTGGCCAGGGGCTTCCTCATCATCAGGACCTGGGGTAACAGCCGGAGGAAAACTGTCTGCACCCAGCTGGGCATGGTGTGCGTGGCCGGGGTGCGATAGTGTATGTTCAGCACAAACACCGTCACCACGATGGACAGGGTGACAAAGATCATGGTGAACAGCAGGTACTCGCCCACCAGCGGGACCACGAGCGACGTGGACGGGATGGTCTCTGTGATGACCAGCAAAAACACCGTCAGGGAAAGCAGGACCGAAATGCAAAGTGTCACTTTTTCGCCGCAGTCCGAAGGAAGATAAAAGACCAACACGGTTAGAAACGAAATGAATAGACAGGGGAGGATCAGGTTAACGGTGTAAAACATCGGCAGTCTTCTAAGGTAAAAAGAGTACGTTATGTCTGTGTATATCTCTTCACAACAGTTGTATTTTATGTCATGCTTGTAGCCAGAAGCATCAACTATTTCCCACTCACTGTTTTCCCAAAAATCTTTCATATCCACTTTAGATCCAATGATTAGAAGATCAATTTCAGCTTTGTCATATGTCCAGGAACCAAATTTTAGGGAACAATTTTGATGGTCAAAAGGGAAAAAAGTGATATCCATAGGACAGGAACTCTTAAAAATCGCTGGCGGGGTCCAGGTTATCGTGCCATTGTATTTAAGAAGAGCTTTTGTCTTGCCTTCGACTTGGAAGTCACCAACAGCACTGCAAAGTAAACCAGACAGCGTTAGTAATGCTCCCTTTACTACGGGTCAGCGTCCCCAGAGGCCACTCTGGAAGGCGTACTTGTTATAGAGAACAATGTCAGGCTTCCAAATCTTCTCCGCGGGAACACGGAGCGTCTCAATGCCATCATAGTCCACTGGGTCCCAGCGCAGTTTATAATCATTCCAAATCTAAAAGAAATAGAGATCAGTTTTTAAAATCACTTAATAATGTTCTCCCAGGCTGGGCGCGATGGCTCACGCCTGTAATCCTAGCACTCTGGGAGGCCCAGGCAGGCGGATCGTTTTGAGCTCAGGAGTTCGAGACCAGCCTAAGCAAGAGCAAGACCCCGTCTCTACTAAAAAAAAAAAAACAGAAAGAAATTGGCTGGACAACTAAAAAATATATAGAAAAAATTAGCTGGGCATGTTGGCGCATGCCTGTAGTCCCAGCTGCTTGGGAGGCTGAGGCAGGAGGATCACTTGAGCCCAGGAGTTTGAGGTTGCTGTGAGCTAGGCCGACGCCACGGCACTCTAGCCTAGGTAAAAAGAGTGAGACTCTGTCTCAAAAAAAAATAATAATAATAATGTTCTCCCAATGTAAAATTTCTGTTGGTTCAACCGTTTTTTTTTTAAATAAATTCTTATTTGAAGAATACATTCATTGGTTTCTATCAAAATTTGGGAAATTATATCCAGGGTGCTAAATAGCTGAGCTGACTTTGGCAAATACTTAATTAGGTAATTACGTATTGATTATTAGTTAGCTGGCCAAGGTTATAGGATTTCCATGTTCCAGGGACTATACTCAAACTGGAGCAGCAACCCACTTCTAATATTAACAAAATAGTTCAAGTGTATGATGGTGAGTTTGATACAAAATCTGTGTAAAAGATTAAGACTTTTTTAAGGAAGAAAGAAATGGTGTAAGTGATACAACCGGCTGTTGTGACTCTCACCCCCATGCTCTTGAACTCAGCTACTGATGTCTCCAGTCCTGGTCCAGCAGGGACCCAGCCCAGCAAGTACCAGGCTCTGGAGCTCACGCTGCAGAGAACAGTGGGAGATCTGAGTGCAGCAACCAGGAAAAGCAGAAGTCTCTACGTCAAGAGACCAGCGTCACTCGGTTTGTGCACCCGTGAAGTTTGCCTCGAGTCAGCTATTACCAGAGCTGAACTTTAGGCTCTGGGGAGGCAGGGCAGGTAATACTAATATTTTATGCTTTATCACAAGTTGGAGATGGAAGGAGGTAGTGGATTTTATCCATTCCTCATTGTAAACCGACCCATGATACAGACACGTACGTGACGCAGCCACAAGTTGGTTTCCATGATCTGGTTTACTTCATCCTGGGAGGAAGAAACAGTATTTTTAGCTTCAGTTGTACTTGCTATCGAGGTGAGTCTTACAGCAAGAACTATAACTAAAAGAGCCAAGTCTGAATGTTTCGTGCTCATGGAGGAAAGCGAGCGGGCTGAGAAGGCAACGTAGAGAGTTCAGGAGGCAACCAGAAACGCAACGTCTCCACGTCTGGTCCCAGCCCTGCTGATGTGCAAGGGAAAGGTGGCTTTACAGTGTCTTTCACAGCTGACCTAAGCCCCACCTGTGCTCCGAAGGCTCTCGGATCCCCGCCGTCCAAATAGATTTCTCATTCCACGAAAGGAAAGAGGAAAAGAAGAGAGAGAATGGGAAGGAGAGAGGGAAGCGCTGCAGATGGTGACAGGTTTCCGAACGGGCTCGCAGCTTCGCCCAGGCCCAGGAACCTCCCTTCCTCCGCGGCAACTCGCACTGTCCAGCGCAGAGCCCAGGCCCCGCCCGGGCCCTGCCTCAGCTCGCCCGGGACTCCGGCTGGGATCTGCCCCGCGCCGGCACGCGCCCGCCCGTCACTCGCACACAGACCCTTAGGCAGTGACCACCGTGCTCCGCGGACACTGGGAGGGCAGCGGTAACAGGCGGGAAAGGTCCTGCCTCCGCGCGCCTTAGCTGTTAGTTGAGGAGACGCAGACTCACAACAGACACGCAACAGCTGCGAGTCCCGTGAAGCACAGCAGAGGGCCGCGCAGTGCGCACGCGCACTCACGCACCTATTTCGGCAGGTGGAGGAAGGGCACTGCAGCCGACACTCCAAACGTAACCAGTTCCTAGGCCGCCAGCCGGCGAGAAGGCGACCACAGACACCGCACGGACCTACGGCAGGTCCCCGCGGCCGGGAGTGGATTCCCAGAACTCGCTCCCGGCCCGGCCTCCCAGGACGCCGAGCTCCCTGCGGAGCACAAGCTCTCAGCGGCGGGCGGAGGGAGCCTGCGGTCACAGCCGTGCCCTGGAACACTGGGCCGCTCTGCCGCTGTCCACGCCCGCCTCGCCCCACTGCCGCCCCGCCACGCAGAGGCCTGCAAGCTTCCTCCCTCACGCAGGCCTGTGTCGAGCCAGGGTGAGCCCCGGGGCTCACGAAGGGCAGCACGGGGAGTTGCGTTCCTGTTTCCTACGCGTCCCAGGAAGCAGGAAATGGGCTACACGTGTCCGCGGGCCAAGCAATTCCTGGCCTCACGATTGCCGAAGGGCAGGGCCTTGTGCTCATGCAGAGTCCCGCGGGGCCACGGCAGCAAGTCAACTCTCTGTGGGTCAGGAATGACGAGCTCTGCAGTATCGGTTCCGGGAAGGTCTCGGGGGTGACTGGCATAAGCCCCAACCACCTTCCAAAGCCTGTGTCCTCTCTGAACTAGGCGGCTGTGTCCAAAGCGCTGAAATCAGCTGGCGATACCATTCCACGACAGGCCTGTCTCCTCAGCCACACCTGCACAGGCAGCGAAGCTCCCTGTGGAGCTAGTCCTAGGCGGTGGAGGTGGGGACACCTGGAAGGTATCAGCGGCTCTATGGACCGGGGCCTGGTCTGGCAAGGCGTGCTCTCCACCCAGCTCCAGACCACACCGGCAGACCTGAGCACGGCTTTCACACAGTCCAGGGGAGGTCACCAGAGACCCACAGTACCGCCCCACACTCCCGGGACCGTCAATCTACCTCTTTCTTGGGAAAATCAATTCATTGACATGCCAGTTACATTAAAGGCTTTGATTTCTAATTTCAAGTGGACTCATTTCTGGAGCAATAGACTCAGAGACGCAGATCAGAAAGGCCACGGGGGCTGCATTTTACAAGGGCTTTAAGTTTGACATTTCAGTTCTGCCAGGCCAGCAAACACCCCTGCAGGGGCTTTGTCCTGGATCCCTGTGAGGGGCAGTGGGCGTGCTCCTCCACTGAAAGAAATCAGAAAACTTGGAGCCCAGGGTCCTTCTGCTGGCAGCAAAAACAGGTCCACGTAGAGCCTTCGGGAGCTGCAAGGCCATGCCGGGGCTCAGACAGCAGCAGAGGGCCCAGGGACCTTCTAGAAGGGAGTCGCGACCGAGCATCCTAGCTGTGTTGACCACAGAGCCACCCGAGCTCACCTGAGGATGCCCAGCAATTGCGCTCCGGGACATTTATCGTGGAGTCACGAAAATTTATGTTTACACAAAATCCTGTACAAAGATGTGCACGGCAGCTTTATTGTAATAGACCAAAAACTGGAATCAGCCCAAATGTTCTTCAGTAAGTAAACAGTTGTACAAACTGTGGTCACATGCCAGAATGCTACTCAGCGACACGGAGGCAGGAACTGCTGACACACTTGGCAGTGCGGATGACTGAGGGTTCACGCCGAGTGGAAAACCCAACCCCAAAAGTTTACACACTGGTTGCATTTTATATAACAGTGTCGAAAGGAGAACATTTTACAAACGGTGGACAGCTTAACGGGAGAAACTGGGCAAAGTGTACGGGGATCTCACCATCGTCTTTTACAACTGTGTATGAATCCACAGTGACCCCAATTTAAACATTTCCCAAGTCTCCCTTGCAGCTAGAGGGAGTCAGTGAGAAGGAAAGCAGAAGCTGCCGGTAGGACTTCCAAGAAAGCTCCTTGAGAAAGTCACAGATGTCCTGCATGTCCCCCTTCTGCCCTTTCCCCACTTTCTCCTGCTTCTTGCCAAGAATGTGAACATGCTGAGTGGAAATGCAAGTTATTTTGGACTGTGAGGCCACACTGAGGGCAGAAACCACATGCTGAGGTTAGTGAAATAGAAAGGCAGAAGGAACCTTGGTCATTGTTGCCATGTCTGCTTTATGCTTTTAGAATCAGCCCATGGCAGTGACAGCCCCTGGAGTTGTGCAGTGCACAACGTGGGCAACTGAACCTAGTGGCACAACCACTGACACCATGAAGCCATCTGGTATTAACCTCCTGGATGGAGGTTTTAGATTTCCACTACATAAGAAAGGAATAAACTTGTTCTATTTTTTTTTCTGGTCAAGTGAAGCAGTGGGAGTGGAGAAGGATAAACTTAATTTATTAAAGCTGTTTTTAAAAAATCTCTGATACTAGTAACCAAATGTAAATGTCGAAATCTGCATTTAGCAGTCCCCTACCCACTAGCTTCAGGACAATGTCCTGAAAGGGTGGATCAAGCAGGGATTTGAAGTAACGCTGTGTAGGGAAGTGGCCTTTACAGACCCTAGAGGAAATTCAGGTCAGTGTTCCATTCGCAACAACCCAAACCGTGGCAAGGATGGCTTCCAGCCCAGGAGGAGACCAGCAACCAGTACCAAGCTATTGGGGGTGGGAAGGGGATCAGAATAGATAATAAATATTTATTAAAAGAATGAGTGGGTCCCTCCAAGTGAGAGGAAATGTCACTCCACACATTAATATAACTATATTAGAGACAGAAACGTCCCAGTTTTGCAGGGCTTTGCCCTGAAGGAATATGTGAACGTGTTAGTTTGCATATCGGAAGCTGCTCCACCTCAGGAGGGCATCTCCAAGGTCAGTGGCAGCTGCTTCCCAATATGGCGCTGCAGATCTCAGACCTGTGGTTCTGGCTTGCTTTGAAAGGCAAAGCAGGTCTGCCAGGAGCCACAGGATGAGAGCTGATCAAAGAGTGCCCACCCCGAGAGACAGACACCTGTGGCCGAAAGCAATCAGCCCAAGGGACAGTTCCTGCTTAAACTCCTGACTACCTGTCTCAGTACACAATAACTTGATAAAGAAATATGGAGCCACTATATCTCTGTTTAACCCTTCTGTTAAGTGATAAATTTACCTTAGAACTTAGAAGTTTGTCTTTGAAAGATTTTGTAACCAGAGTTAGTTAAGGGATCTATAGAAACCTTTTAAAAGACTTTTAACCCCAAATGAACTACCTGTTACTATGTAAATCTGTTACCCATGGCAACTGACCACTGACCTATAAATGCCCATGTGAAACTTCACTCGTGGCCTTGCGAGTCACGGAGATATCGTGAGGTCCCTTGAGTACCCTCGCTTTGTCTATTATCTTTATAAATCTATAAAACTATACCTTCGTCTCTGTGTATTCTTTTGTTTCTATTATTTTCCATTTTCTATTATTTTCTTATCCTTTGCGGCAACCCCTACCTAAGGGACCCGATTTTTTGCTGGGAGCGTAGCTAACTCCCCACAAGGAAACATCTAGCTTTTCTTTTTTAAATCAATGTTTATCAGTACATGCACTCTTCCACTTCTAGCCTGGGGCAGAAGCCAGAGGACCCAGCCAGGGCCAGCCCCGTCCACTGGGAAGCATAAACTGGATAGTATGGGGGGCCCTGACTCACACCCATAGTTCAGGTCTTTCCCCAGGGACACCTAGAGGAGCCACCGCTGCCTCACCCACAGGGCAGCCTGGCAGGAGGAGGGCTCCTTCCCACACATGGGCTGGGCTGACACGTCGGAAGGGCTCCCTCCTTCTGTGCACTGTGGTCTCGGGGACATGGTCCAGCACCCCTCTCTGGAGCTGCCTCAGGGCTCCCTGCTTCCCAGCCCGCCTGTTCCTGGAATGTGGTCTGAGCCCGGCTCAGCGGCCCACCCTGCCCCTTCCCAGCTGGGCCCTGGAGCCCGGAGCCTGGTCCACCTGAGCAAACAGGCTCCCCACCTCCTCTCCCGGCAAGGAGGCGCAAAGGGCATCCAAGCAAAGAACTCCAGCTCTAGATCTCTCCAAGATCTCCGAATTCCCATCCTTTTTTTTTTTCAGGGTGGGATGCAATCTCTTATGAAAGGAACTAAATTTTTTCTTTCTTACTTAACATAGCAGACTTAAAGCAATTCTTCAATTGTGGAGCAAAAAAGGCACAAGCTTGGGAGTTAAATCCCAGTTTCACCCTTCCGTGATCGCATGACCTTGGGACAGTCACTCAGCCCAGCTTGCATGTCCTCAGCAACGAGATGAAGATGACGGCCACGAAGCGTGAGCCCGGCGAATGGTGCACGACAACTTTCCTTCTCACCCTTCTTTCACTTCCAGAAACACCTGCTTCAGCGGGAGCACTGACGGCCCGTCGGGGAAAGGGTCTCCCGCCCAGGGGGCCGGCCCTCACCTAGGTGTGCATCTATCTGCGGTTTGAAAATTCCCTTGTCTACCACGTGCAGAAAGTGCAGCCAGGCTGGGCAAGGGCTCTCCGGGGAGCGGGACTCACCACGTCGGCCAGCTGCGTGATGGCCACTTCAAAGTGCACCGTGACGGGGTCGGAGACGTTCTCCACGGGCCTGATGAACCGGTTGTAACGTGAGAAGAGTCTGCGGAAGAGCCTCTCCTCGGCGGCGCAGCCTTCGCAGCCTGCGTGGCCAAGCAGAGGGAGAGTCAGCGTCGCCGGGGTGGCAGCCTCGCGACCCGCGCTGTCTCCAGCCGGGCTGCCTCTCAGGGCGCGAGCGACAGCAGGGACAGAGGTGTTTCTAGAGTCTAAGCACCACAGCCGAAAGGAGCAGACTCGAGGCTTGGAGTCTTTGCTCAGGTCGCACTCATGGATGGACCGGGAGGCTCACCAGTGTTTGGGAAAGTCCTGCCCTTTCTTGTCACAATGCTGCTCAACGGACGCCTGTGTCTACACCTGCAAGGTGCTTCGCTAGGGAACCTTCGCCAAGCAAAAACTGAAATAACTAGTAATTTCATTAAGGTCTTCACAAGCCATGCTCTTTTAAAATCAACTTTGAAATTCAGTTATTTTGGAGATTTGTGAGAATGCAAGGTTTTTAAGACAAATTTACTTAAAGTATTTTGAAAAGAAGTCAAAATAGGTTCTTAAATAATAGCATTTTCAGTCATTAAAGTCTAGACAGTTATTAATATTTCATGCATATCTCTTTGTATTTTTCCAAGAAGGTATTAGCGGTAAGTTACTGGTCTTCGTTTGTAGAGGTCTATTCCCTCTACATTTTCCTTTATAGAAATCCAAATTTGACACCTGAAATATTATTCCACAAATGTCCTAAAGGGATTTATACCTTGAAAGAAAGAAACTAAGTCGGTGAGACGCTTATCAGGAGAAATGAGCAAAACGACGGCTGCTGTTGCGAATGGAAAGTTTCCGCAACGCCTTCGGAGCCCTGAAACCGTGGGATTTTAACAAGAATGAAAAATTTTCAATGTAAAGTACTATTCTTGCCATAATGATAATGTTTCTTCATAAAACAGACCAAAAAATCCTCCTGATTATTCATTTTTTCCCTTGAGACATTTTAGATAAGCCCTCCCGGGTCTGGACAAGCAGGTCCCCGGCAAGCCAAACAGCACATGGAAATGAGGTTGTTCCCCAGAGCAGCAGGTTTCCGTTTCTCAGTCTGAACTTTTAAAATGAACTATCTTACTCTTGGGAAACATTTCGGCATAGTAAAACGACATGTTTCCAGGAAACGGAGATGATCACTTGCAAAATGGGAGGGTTCATGGACTGTGCAATAGTGTCAGCTAACACATGGATCACCACCTTGAAAAAAATACGAAATACAACTAACAATAAATAAGTTGAATACATCCATAGCAGAGATGAATAGAAAACTGCATCGTTCTTATTTTACATTTCAACTGGGAAAATAAAATAAATGCAGTTCACATAAATACCTGTCGTTGTCCTCCTCACCCCACCCTACCCCCGAAATCTCATCTTATATGTCCAACGTAACTAATGAAAACCACAGCGAGCAGCGCGCGGCTGTGGCAGTGGCGGGTGCTGTGCAGACACTCGCGTATTTTCCCGCGGGATCTGCCGCGTCTGCGCAAGCGCAGCCAGAGCGGAGAGTAAGCCCACGCAGCTAAGAAGGGAACGGAAGATGAAGCAGAGCTAAAACCTACCTTTAAAGAAAGGCACGAACACGCAGAGCCAGAGACACAAGCCCTCGCTGGGCAGCATGGCTGAGACCCGCCGCGCTTCCCGCTCGCACGCGCAGGACGCAGGGACGCGCGCTCTCGGCTGCGCGCGCCCGACCCGCGCCGTCACAAACCCGCTGCAGTGCGCGCGTCCTCCGCGAACTCCAGCCTCCGGGAGACAGACACGGCTGTTCCCAGGACGGGGGACGAGGCACAGGCAGAGCGAGTCGAGGGGTCGGATCCGAATCCGACGGGGGCTGAGTCATCGCGGTTGCCGTCAGCCGGGATCGCCTTTCCCGCAGAAAGGGGAGGAGACGCGGAGAGCGAGTGCGAGCGGCAGGGCGGGGAGGCCCGGCCTCTGCAGCCGCCGCGGTCCCCAGGGAGCGCAGGCCCGGCCCCCGCGCCCCGCTGCAGGCCCAGCAGCCGCCACCCTTGCCCCGACCGCCAGGGGCTTTCGGCCAAGGTGCAGCCGCTCGGCCCTCAGGGACGCGGTTACTGAGACGGGGAGGACACCAGGGAGGAAGGGAGTGTTTAGCGTGGCAGATGTTCAGCTCTCTCCCACTGAGAGACAGCACCGGCTTTTAAAGGAGGGGCCACGTGCCTGGGTCCTGGTGCGTCCGGAGGGGTACACGCCCTGGGGGCAGGTGGCGGGGTGGCCAGCCGTGGCTCAGGAAGTGCGCCCAGGGGCCCTCAGAATCTCCGCTCCTTTCTCTTGCAGAAAATGCGCCATTTCTGGAAACCGACTCGAAGCTCGAGTGGTTAGTTAAGGGAGGAACTGAAATTTGTTCAGTGGGCACCCCGCCTCCTTACTCTCGGCCCTGACGCGTGTGCTCCGACTCATTGAGTTCTCCGCCGATCGGGTCTTAACTTTGCTGGGAAACTCTCTAAAATGCGCGCCTGACTGCGGGGCAGCCGGGACACGAGAGGCCCGCCCGGCCCGTCCAAACGTTCTGTGCCGTGGTTACCGGCCTAGCGCTCTTGCAGGTGCAGGGTTCAGACCGACAAGTTCCCTCGAGATTCCATCCGCCTCGCCTCTCTCGAAGGAACAAAAGAGGAAGTAACACCTGTTTGGCACCAAGCTTCGAGCAGGCACTGGGCTGGGTACTTCAGGTAGGTGCCCTGAGATGTTGCTCAAGTTGTCCCCTCAGCAGTTGGCCTTTTGTGCTTTGCTGAAGTGCTGTGTGGAGTTTGCAGAGAACCCGAGGCGAAGAAAAGAAGGAGTCTAGCAGGGCGTGGTGGCGCACCTGCCATCCCCGCCACTCGGAGGCGGAGGTGGGAGGATCCCTTGAGCCCAGGAGTCTGAGACCAGCCTGGGCAACATAGCGAGACTCTGTCTCTAAAAACAAAAAGAAAAGAAAAGAAAAAATCAGAACGACGTCTCACAATGCTGGGTAAAATGCCACCTGACACAAAATGGGACACTGCCCTCACTAGTTTTTAGGGTGAAACTCAAATCAAGCTGGCTGTTTTCAAAGCTCAGGTTTGAATGGGACTGCCCTTCACTCTTTCTGGTGGATACACACTGCAGTCGCAGGAAAACTTTGTTTCACATCTTTTGTTCCATCCCATGTCCGGCAGTTCTCGGCAGCTGTCACCTGTCAGCCTAAGGAGCCACTCAGGAGGAGGGGTCCTTTGGAACGTACCAGAAGTCAGCCCTGCCATGTTCCAGGGCTAGCTGACTCTGTCCCACTGTGCCACGCTGCAGAGTGGGAGGAAGGGGACTTCATGAGTGAAGGTCGCAGAGGTGAAGAACACAGGGACAAGAATATGGGCTCTGGAGTCAGACAGACCTGGATTTGGACTCTGGTCCTGACGCTCACCTGGGGGACATTGGCAAGTCACTTAGGCTGTCTCAGCCTTGTCCTCGTGAGAAACATGGAATTAAATTCAGGAACATGAATCATTCCGTCTCTCCATACCCAATTTTGTGTGTGATTTTCTCTCACTCTCTTACCAGTACAAATAGGGAACACAATTAAGTAACTCTTGGGGCCTGAATTTGTAAGAAGGATATATTCGAAATGCTTTTAAAGAAAAATACATTCTCCATTCAAAGAAAACATTTAAACTATGCCCCCACTGCACTCTAGCCCGGGTGACAGAGCAAGGCCCTGTCTCCAAAAAAAAAACAAAACAAAAAAGAAAGAAAATTTAATTCAAGAAATAATAGAATTAAAGGCATTATATCTTTTCCTGATTTTGCTGGATACTGTTTCATGTTTATATTCTAGCGGTTAATTTCTGTTTAACCGTATTGTCGAAGTCAAGAGCTTAGAGAGCTGTCCACTGCTTAGTGAGGGAGAAAGTGTGGAGCGAGGTGGAAGAGATGCACTAGCCCTGGGCAGGGAGAGGTTAATTAAAACTGGAAGAGGTTTGGTTTCTCCCCCCGCTTCTTCTGTTTCTCACCCCCATTACCTCTCGCTCCTGTTAGCCAGGTCTAAATGGAAATAGGAAGAAGCAGTGGGTCTTAATTCTTTCAAGGCCGCAGAGCTGCTAAAACCTATGGACCCTATACCCCTTCCCCATACACACATGCATATCAAACGAAATTTTGCATATAATTTCTGGGGACTCATAGACCCATAAACGGCCAACCCCAGGCGGAGGGTAACCCCAGCTGGTTTCACAGGTGTCCTCAGTGTCTGTCCCCAATCCCTCCACACCATCCCTTCCTGAAATAATGCATTCTAGAGAGCTAATGTGTTAGGAAATCAACAGGCTTCAGAGAATAATTATTGGGTTTCTTTTTTGGCTTTATCCATAAAAGCTAATTTTAATTTAGAGTTTTTTTCATTTTGTTTAATATGAAACTTTTACTACAAAAATTATTTCACGCTTTTCTCCCTCCCTCCCCCATTTGCTAAATTAAATCCACTGCCTAAAAATAAAGGAGACTATTTGATATGGTTACATAAAATTGGTTGTGTTCTTATTTGAAGTTGGAGGGGGTTTTGTCCTAGAAACTGCACAAATGAACATTTTGTTGACCTTTCTCCAACTGTCAGTTCTCTTTAAGCTCAAAGCGAGAACACTCTCCAGTTGTCCATAAAGAAATACGAAGGAAACAGCCCTTTAAACATGTATTATTTATAAATCCACTGCAGCAAAACATCGTCAATAATTTACTGATCCCACATGCTGGTTTTTTAATGCCCACTATCCTTAACTCTCGCACGACTGCCATCCCCGGCTGGTAGTACTGCACTTGGCATTTGCAAATGACGCAGGGAAAGAAAAACAGCAGTAGGGTAAGTATTCAAATTAAATGCTGATTTTAGACCACAAAGAAATATTTAATAAATTGCTAATCACAAGAGAGGCTCGAATTGACCCTTCGATGCTCACTTTTGTCCAACTAAATTTTAAGAAAAAGGGAGAGCCTGGGAAGCCAGCGCGGGGTCAAGCAGCGTGAGAAAGTCAGACTATGCCGAACACTGTGAGACGCTGAATAATGGCTACAGCTCCCTCCGAGCACTCCCGGGGTGCCAGTCGCCGCGCCAAGGTGATTTACATTTCATAAGTTCGGCTATTGCCACTCGAGGAGGTTAAGTAACTCGTCGGAAGGTCCATCCCAGCTGATGAATGGCTGAGTTAAAATTCCAGTCTAGGTCCGTCTGAATCAAAGCCACCCTGAAGTGCTTATAGAGCTATGAATACTTTATAAGTTCGACGTATTTTAAGACAGCTGCTAGACGTGGGTGGTGGTTAGCACCACTTTTGTTACCGTTCACCAGGGATCCCTCGCCCCGCCCACAGGCGCAGAGGAAGCTGAGGCTGAGTCATAAAAGGGCTGCGACAGGGACATGATGCTGGGCAGACATGGAAGCCCAGGGACGCCCCCGCTGGGGCACAGGCGAGTTCTCAGCTGAGTTCTCAGCTCTGCAGCTCCGGCCTTGCAGTCAGGCCTGCGGCAATCCTGTGACTGCTTAAGGTCTTTTCACTTCACCGTACGGGCAGCGATCATCTCTGGCCCTTCAAGTAAAAGGAAGAATCAATTCAATTCTCATTGTCCCAGAACCAGCAGTGACTGTAATAAAAGTTACTCCGCGGCAGTGGCCCCAGCTGTGTACGTGAGAGTAACAGTGCCAGTCGTTTCCCAGGGCCGGGGCAACAAATTGCCACGGACTCTGGGGGTAATAGAGCAAAAAGTTATTCTGTCGAAGTTCTGAGGCTAGAAGTCTGAGATCAAGGGCTGGCAAGGCCCCGCTCCCTGTGGAGGCTGGAGGGGACACTCCCTCTGTCTTCCTCCAGCTTCTGGTGGCTGCGGTTGTTCCTTGGCTTGTGGCAGCGTCACCGCAGTCTCTGCGTCTGCGGTCACTCGGCTCTCTCTGTGCCCGTGCTTGCTCCACTTCTGTCTCTTACGAGCAAGCTGGTCATTCGATTTAGGGCCTACCGGGTAATTCAGGATGATCTTATCTCTAGATTCTTAATTACATCTGCAAAGACCCTTTTTCCAAAGAAGGGAACATTCACAGGTACCAGGGGTTAAGACATGGACGTATCTTTGCACCATTCAGCCCATGGCAGCATGACACGGGACTATGTAGTGAGGATTTAACTAGAAAGGTACATAATAGCAGCTGCTGGAATACACAGGGCAGTGCACATTAATTTTCTTCCAGACAGCAGCATTTTGATGTGTACAACAGATGTTTGGAGCCAGTGGGGAGGCCCAGAAAGTCTGGCTGATTTTACAGAAAATAATACCGACTTCTTGCTCTTCTGAAGGAAACAAAAAGTGAAAAGCTGTTTATATGATGGTTCCTGATTAGTAGTTCTGAAATTTTAACGTGCCTCTGAATCAAGCGTGGGGGCATCTTAGATGATCGGATCCCCAGGCCCCGGGCTGAGATTCCGATTCAGCAGGTCTGGGTGGGACCTGGGAAACTGCATCTTTAAAAAGTGTCACCGTGGACCGTGCTGCCGGTGGCCAGCACTACACAGCTGAGGAGCACTTCTCCAGAGAGTTGTAGGAAGATTTCCACTCGGTCCATTTACAGCGTGGTTCCGTGATGTTACCGAGTTAGACGTTTCTGGGCCATT